AGGGACTATGGGTGGAAAATAGCACTTTGCTAAAACCCGGTGCAATGCATCTCTCCCTGTTATATACAGGGCTAATGTTTTATTGTGCACTGTCCCTGTTCAAATAAAATAAATAATAAATAATAATAATTAATAATAATAATAATAATAAGAAGAAGGATACAGAACAATGCACACTATTAGTCGGTAGTAAAATACAGAACAATGAGTAAATAATCAAATAGAAAATATAATATTTTAAAATATATAAATACATTTAAAAATATAATAACAATAACAATAACAATAATAATAATAACAGTAGTAGTAGCGTTGGAAAGAAGAAGTTAGTAGTGTATCTAGTGTTATTTGTCTTATGATCACTATCTGGAGGTCACGTTTTTGTTCTGTTAGCACAAATCACCATCATTATCATCATCATCATCATCATCATGGCCACATCATCGTCATGTAACGTCACACAGTTAAAATTAATACTGTGTCTCCACCTTGTGGCGGAGCACTCCCACTTTTGATATCAACTCAGTCAGTCAGTCAGTGTCCAACATGGCAACCAGGTGGGGAATCTGTAGCGCGGGGAAGATCAGTCATGACTTCACTGTGGCCCTCAAATCTCTTCCTCCCGAAGACCATCAGGTATCAGTTTGAGACTGAGTAGATGCGTAGATATAAATACAGCAGTTGTTGTTAAATGCAAGACGTTTTGTCCGGACTCTGCGAGGTTTGTCTGTCCGTGCTGTCTGTACCTCTTGTTTCTGACAGTCTGACACTTGCAGTTCAGATAAAATGAGGTCCTGTGAAATGAGGTTGGTTTGCGACCTGCAGCTTTACCGAGCTATGCCACTGACACCGGACAACAGTGAGTTTATACACTGTAAGCTAAAGTGTGCAGCATTACTAACACATGACTTACTTACTGGCATACTTTTACCGTAAAATACACACTAAATGGGCATCTACATTTTGTTTTGTTTTTGCACTCCAACCTAAGAATTACGGTAGAGCTTTGTTATTGCAGATATTCTTCAATTGGGATCAAAAGCAGCTTCAGATAATACACCATTGACTGCTGTAGCTGGGAGACTGTAAGAAAGTGTCAAAATAATGATTTTGCAATTTTCTGGCAAGCAGGATTCTGTACTAGCCTGAGATATGTGTATTAATCGAGTTATACAGAACATTTAATATGGTAATAGTGTATACTGGAAAGAAACAATTGTCAGTAGCCAGACAGCCTAAACACCTGGATGACAGACTGCAGACAGCTGGATTGTAACTGGATTGAAACTATTCACAGGTTGTGGCTGTGGCAGCTCGCAAGTTAGAAGATGCACAGGAGTTTGCCAAGAAGCACAGCATCTCTCGAGCATATGGCGCCTATGAGGAGCTGGCCAGGGATCCAGACATAGGTACGTTTCTGTCAAAGTGTGGTCAAGTTTGATTGGCTGGTGGCTCTCTGCATTTGGTATTTGAATTACTTTGAACGCCTGATGTAAGGGATTTGCTGCTTCAGGTCAGAGCTCAAACGTACAATACAGTAAACCCCTATCATCTGTTCAATCTCCATAACTTGTAGTTCCAGCTGACCCACAACTGTTTTCATTTCCTGTTGATAGTTTACTTTTTTAACACAAATTTTAATAGACAAAATCATCTCTCTTCCTATGCATATCCTATGTCTTTTACTATACAGTGTGCTCTCTGGTTTGTGTGTGCAGATGTGGTGTATATTGGCGTTATTCACCCCTACCATCTGAGAACTTGTCTGCTCTTTACGAATGCCAAGAAGAACGTGCTATGTGAGAAGCCACTGGCCATGAACACCAGGGAGGTGCAGGAGATCCTGGCTTCTGCCAAGATGAATGATGTCTTCCTCATGGAGGTATGGATAGGGCAGAGCAAAAAGGAAAAAAAAAAGATAAAAAATACTCTCCTCGTTTGTCACTACAAATTATTAACAAATGATTAACAGTGTTAACAGTATCATGTTCTGCATCTAAGCAAACTTTATACAGCTTGTTTAAGCTCTTTTGGCATGGGAAATGGAGCTGGAGCGTGGACTGGTAGCTAGAGGGGTGCCAGTTCCACCTCAGGGGCACTGCAGAGGTGCCCTTGAGCAAGGCACTTTACCCCTAACATTTGCATGTCTATAAGGCCTGTGTGTGCACAATTGTATTTTGGGTCTATGTGTTTAAAACACTGAATGAAAAAATAATTTCCTAATTGGGGATTAACAAAGCAAATCACTGCATACATAGCACAAAAATATATATATATGATGATAAAATGTAAGCGTATGAAATGCCTCGTGTCCTTTGCTCTAAGGCTGTCTGGACCCGATTCTTCCCGGCCTCAGTGGAGATCAGACGGCTCCTGGCCCAGGGGGAGGTGGGCGAGGTGAAGATGGTGAGATCGGAGTTTGGCGTGCCGCTGATGAATGTGCCGAGGTCCGTGGAGAAGGAGCTGGGTGGAGGGGCAGTGCTAGATTTAGGCATCTACTGCCTGCAGTTTATTTGCATGGTGTATAATGGAGAGAAGCCAGAGTGCATCCAGGCCACGGGAATCTGTAAGGAAACAGGTAAACCAGTAGGGGGCTCACTGATTTGATTTCTGAAGCTCTTTCACTTGTGGGAAAGTGGTTCATTCTAGATTCTTCTCACTGTGACATCTTTGCCAAATAAACAAACTAACAAACCAACCTTTGTTCACATAATATCAGTCTCTAAAGCCAACTCATCCTCACCGCTGCTTTCTGTTTTGCACATTACACAAAGATTGACAGTGGCAGGGTTGTTACCCATTGACCTCAGTTGTGTAAATCTGTTTGCAGCTCCTCATATGACACAGATATACCATATAACAGATGGGCGTTTTTAATTTGAGCTTGTAAATGCTTTGCCCGAGCCTTTTTTTAACAGTATGATTCTTACTGTGTGGGATTTGAGAATTTATAACTGGGAGTGTTTCTGTCTGATAACCTCTTATCTCTATTGCTTCATTTCGTTTATGTCTTACTGGCACAATAGAGTTGAAAGTATCTGATATACTGATATTCCAGACATGTAATGTTGCCCTGCATTCTTTTATACAGTATTTTTCTTCAATATAAAGTAGCAGAATTAAATGACTCAGCATTTCGTTTGTCGAGGACACATGGGAGACACAACAACCATTAATGGTGCACAATGTATTTATTTTTATTATATTTTTGTCAAATGTGAATCATGTTATGTTGTTGCAGGAGTGGATGAGACTGTGGTTGTCACTCTGAAGTTCTCCAAGAACAGGATGGCAGTGTTTACTTGCTCTTCGGGTATTCAGCTGCCCAATGACGCCATTATTATGGGCACAAAGGGCACCATCAGGGTAGGTCAGCACAGCATGGCCGCATAATCAAATACAATTCAAATAGTGCAAATAAGTACAGTATTTCAGACTATGTCTGTTTTCATTTTAAAGTCAAGCAAGATCAAGTGTGAAGCAATGTAGTGTAGGAGGGAAGTTGTGTAACACAAAGATGAAGTATTTTAAATTCAGGAACTATACTGTATACTGTAATTGTGGAAATATCCTTTTGCATGATTTTTTTTCTTTAGGTTCCTGACCACATGTGGTGCCCGACATCATTGGTGGTGAATGGGAAGGAGACTCAGTACCCACTGCCAGACCCCTATTTGCCTCTCAACTTCCTCAACAGCACAGGGATGCGTTACGAAGCAGAGGAGGTTCGGCAGTGTTTGCTCAAAGGTACTGTGACATTCAGAATATATATTATATTATATATCTGTGTTACTACAAGAATGAATTTACATATTAACCCTCATCCTAGCAACATATTAATACTAGGACTAGTGATTGAATAATAAACTACTGTAAGAAACAACCACCATAGAAAAATCTTAACTCTTTTTATGCTTATTAGTTAGTCATATCATCTGGCAAAAAATAGATCATTATTTTAGGAAAGTGACAGTTAATTTTCAAATTTTCAAATTGTGTAAAACTAAAATAGTCAGACCCATAGTTATATTAAAACTACATAGGCAAAATAAGGTGCTTTTGACTGAGGTCCCCCAATATCCCAATACATTGGTATTTTTAGAAAGCAAAAAAAAGCACCCCATGTACCAAGGATGAGCTATGTGTTTGACACCGACCTGTGGCCATGACTGCATCTCATCCCCTCTCTCTCCCCTCATTCCTGTCACTCTTCAGTTATCACTGTCAATTAAAGGCACTAAAAAATTGCAATGATAGAATAAAGCACCTGCAAGATGTGACAGAGTATACCTCTGGGGTCTGTGGGTACTCCAGTCAGTAGGATGAAGGTACAAAATGACTAAAATAAGCACAGAGTAGGAAATGAATCAGAGATTTTTAACGTTCAGGCACATGCAGTTACTTGCTAAACACACATTCAACACAAGGTGGCATCAGAAACACTGAAATCCTAATGGCAGACCTAAGAGTGCACTATGTTCTTACAGTTGGATTTTCTCCTGTAGGGCTAAAGGAGAGTGCAGTTGTGTCCCATGCCCATTCTCTTCTGTTGGCTGAGGTGGAGGATGAGATTCGCAGACAGGTGGGGGTGGTGTACAGCCAGGACTGCCATTAAATGTTGGAACATACTACATCATTTTCCCTGTTGTATGGGACAGGTTTTTGATGAAGAATAAATTCTTTATGTTCAAACTGTCTTCTTTTCCTTATTTGGCTGACCATGATTAGCTTCAATGTGGTTAATGTGGTTCTGATTAAAAGGTGTTTGATACATTTGTAAGCTTTTAAGTTCATCACAATCTTAGATACTACATACACACACTTATTATATATAATAATAGAAGATACATTTGCCAGAATGTTTTACTTTATGTAAATGTGATTTAGTGCCAGCCATAAACTCAATTTATGGATTCTTCATTGTCAAATAAAACATTTGCAAAGCAGAGTTAAGATAAGTGCTCATCTCTTTTATTGATGGAAATCCAGCCTTTTAGGACAGCTCAGTACACCCACTAAACATTAGAATACCCCTTTACATTTAGTTAGTTCTTACACTCAAGCGTTACAATCCAAAGCATGTTAGACATGAAGACAGCTACAGTGGTTCACTAACATAAAAGGAGAAGCAGAAGGGGTTCTACCCATCACCCACTGGGGTTGAGAGGGACAGGGCTTCATCTTCTCAGGAGGGTCCCTGTGGAAACCCCCCTAAAAGTGCTCTTTCATATCAGTCAACTTTAGTGAACCACACGATTCATAAGGGCCAACTCAGATATGATCCAAATGCAAATAAAAGGCTTTAAGACACATCTAATAACACAAATACAGTAACTAGCTCAAACACCTCCAAAGTGGACATCCAAAACTAACATTTCTCTATAGTCAGACAAAATATAAGTAGTATTGGACGTCCCAAAACAAAACTTTACCATTCACAAAAGTCAAGTATAATATTGAATCTAACATTGTGTCGAATAGATTAGGAGTGCAACACTTAAAGATACACTTAAATACAGCTGGCATTAGGGGAGGACACTTCATACAGACAGCACTACAAGGACCTGTTTGGGTGGAGTGGTGGAGCCAAGGCTGCACTGCAAGCCCTTTGATTTAGGATGCCACAAGTTTGTTCGTTATATCTGCAGAGGAGTGCGATTAGTAACTGTTCCAGAACTCAAAAGGTGCTCTGTTAAGATCAGCCTGCCCCACCACCAATCGCGCCTAAACAAGAGCCAGTATGCGCATGCACACAGACCAGGATGCATTCACTCTCAGACTGGTTCACTTTTAATAATACAAGTTTTTGAGTGAATAAATACAGCAGTTTCTGGTCAGGGTGTATTAATCTGAGGCCCTGCAGACTGGTTTGATTGAGAGAATCGACGTGAAAGGAATGGAGACGTAAAGTGGAATTGTAGGGATCAAGCCTTCACTCCCACCCAAAACAGCTCTGTGGCCATGAAGGCTATACTCTATATTTTTAATTTCTTTGCATTATTGCCTAAATTGTTCAGGGGATGACTTTTGTCAGCCCGGTTGTTGGATGAGAAAGGCTGTGAGCTGGAGTGGATTGTGAGTTGAAGAGCTATGAAAGATAGATGAAGGTGGAAGGAGAAAGCAGAGCAGCCCTGTTGGCTGTTCAAGCTACCAGAACCACACGCATGGTGTTGGTGTAACCAGAGCCTGGACGCCAGCCGGTCAAGACGATAACAACGTCTCCCTCTTTGAAGAAGCCTCTGGCCTTGCCTGGAAAATAAACATTAAACATTTTACTTAACATTGCTTATAGAGCTTCACACCAATAGGTATTATGCTGGAAACACTGTACTTTTTGCTCTTCTGTCTTGTTAAATAGTTGCACAAGATTCTAAAAAGGTGACATAGAAACCTACCCATATCCATGGCAAAGTTGACGCGCATGTCGACGTCCTCTGCCCACACATCGTTGGCGGGCTTGGTGTAGAGGACTGGGAAAATGCCACGGTACAGGTGGGCTTGGCGAGCTGTCTGGGCGTTACGGGTCACAGCAAGGATGGGGGCACGGGGCCTGTACCTGGAGATCAGGTGGGCGGATCTGCACAGAGAAACACACAGCTAGGTATAAAAGCTGACCTCACTTCATATACATCTGGAGTATTTAGAGGTTAACTAACTTGAACTAATGATTCCAACAGTATGACCAGATAATTATGAGGATTAAGAAGGGAGACGCCTGAATAACTTCATGCTTACTTGTGCGCACAAAATGTGTGAATATCATTTACATATACATTCAAAAGCAGAATTTGAAAATAAATATTGGATAAACATATCAGCACTATATAAGACATTAAACTCCATGCAGATGGATTCTTGGTAGAAGCAATTAAGTGTGATTAAAAACCCTCAACCCGACATACAGAAGGTGTTTTCTGATATTTTGGCTGATTTAGACTTCTCCTTAGGTTCACTAGTGCTCTTGTATGCTGGGGATTGGCTGAGCTCAACAAACTCCAAATACTTCATTAAACCAATAAAAGAAGGTGTTGAGGTGTCCCGCCCCAAAAGATGTGCAACAATACCAACACTATAGTCAGGGAAGCTGAGCAGAGTCTGGAAACGCCCGCCTTGAGAGGTCTAATCAGCCAAAATAAGTGACAACACTTCTGACAACACCCACTCTCACCCTTGCAATCTGATGATATCTCCACCCACCCTGTTTAACAACACACATCAGACACACACACGCATACACGAAATCAGGGAGAGGGGATCTGTAAGAGCACATTAGTTGCTGGAGGGACAACAATCAGGAGTTGTGCTGGACAGCTTGTCGTGAGTTTGGCAACGACTTACCTTCAGGACCAGGATCATTTCACCTCTACGCTTCTCTTTCTTACCTGCCAGTCTTGGTGAGAACAATGAAGGCACTAGCGCAGCATTTAAAGGAAGACTCGACAGCACCGACAGCTACAGCCTCTGAAGGGTCTCTGGTCAGCTGGGAGTGTCTTCTCAGCTCCTCAAACAGCTGCCTGTGGAAGGTGGCCGCCTCGGCCTCTCGTGCTATCTAAGCCCAGAGGGACCATGAAGGAAGGGTTGAGGGGGTGAGGGGTTACTCTCAAACACACACGCACACTACCACTGTCATTCACACCACTGGGAGAGGCCGGCAAAGATGTAGCTAGACTCCAGGTTAAACAAGGTTAGCTGTCGGTTTACTGATAGGCCGAATTATTGAAGCAAACTGGAAGAGGGCAGAAGACATCAGTTAAACTTTTAGCTTTAGGTGTAAATATGTGACTTTTTACTTCAGGGTTTTGAAAAGTACATTTGTTCTCATAGGCAAGAATCAACCAGCAGTCTGCTTGTGTGTTTGCCAGCCACTCTCAGTTACATCCTCAGTCAGTCCCTGTCTGACCCTACTCTCCCTCTCTCAGACTCCTCAAGTACCGATATCATTGTCCTTCTCGACCTGCCAGGACCAGATAACCTGCCTACCTTCCAGAGCCAGTGAGCACAATGATCCCAGAGGCTAAGCTCTTAATGGAGGCCTCAACAGCGCCGATTGCAATAGCCTCAGCGGGGTCTTTGCAGTGCGGCGTGGAGCGACGGAGGTCCTCAAACACCTGCCGGTGGAACATGGCTGCCTCGGCTTCACGAGCAATCTGGCACAAGCGAAGGCAAGATGCATCAAGCAAAGGCAATCCCACACCAGGCACACGCAGAGGTAAAATGAGGATAATGGGTGGATAAAAGGAGAAAAAATGAGAAACAGGGAGGGACATTGTCACAATGACACAAGAAGAAGACAAGTTAAAGTAAGGAGTAGAAGGGACAGAAGGAAAGGACAGGAGGGACAGTGAAAAGAGGAGTTTAGGTGTGCAGTTAGAAACATCAGGGTTAAAACATACAAGTCACGGAATCAAAATGTAACCTCAACCCTACATGAGGTATTACATGTAAATTAGTACAATACAACCCATGCTAATCTGGAGTTAAGGCAACTGAACTGCTGAGAAAGATCTATAAGAATAAAGTTATAGAGAGAGCAAAATGACAGAGTTGAGCTTAATAAAATGACCAAATAAATGACTTTAGTTAACTGGGGGTTAAAAAGGCAGCTGGAAATTAAAAAGCCACACAGTGCACAGAAGTGTGAGGAGATGGTTTAAGACAGGAGGAATGAACAAGAAAACTAAATGAAGTAAATGAGAATGCCAGATAGCAAAAGTGGCTCAGAAGCAGAGTTAGTACTTGTTATTTTATAAGAATACAAGTATTCTCAATAAATGTATGGTTTGAGGTCAGGGTAAATTGTTGTTTACATTGGACTTTGAAGCACTCCATGCAACTTCAGCATAAGGGCAGACAGCTCAAAGGCAGGAGCTGCAGCACTGCTGAGTCAGTCCTGCATCTGCATAGCAGTGCAAAAACAGAGTGTAGCCGAGAACAGCGGAGGTTAGCCAAGAAAGGCCTGAATGACCAAAGAAGGGATAGGCATAACCTGCATTATCCATCCTTGCAACTGATACTAACTGTGATATTGATATAAGATTTTGTTATGTTATAGGGCTGAAGACTGTCCCTGACTGAAAAATCTAAAAGAACAAACAAAAGCAAATTAAGCAGATATTGCAGATAGAAATTTCAAGTAATCTTAATCCATCATCAGCTTCGTTAGTGATCAATATTTACTTAATCATTAACTTATAAAAACTTATAAAAACACAGCAATGCACAATGATGCACTATTTGAAACCCCTGTTAGTAGAAATTGTAACATTTCTGAGTTTGGCATTCACTTAAACTGCTGTTCTTGCTCCCTCTTCAGCAGCCTTATTGTAATTTAAGAAGTACATCTATGTGCACTGTAAATCATTTTTGACAAAAAATTGGATAGACCAGTTTGGGGATACCAAGTCGAATTGATTAATAGTATAGAAAAGCAGCACAGGCACAAACACATTTGTTAGATGAAGAGGTGCAAGACAGCCATTTAAAACATCTGGAGAGCTGGAACTAATATCCCAGGGCTGCACCAATAAGGTTGGGGCAATTTTGTGCTCTGTCAATACTATTAACTTAAACTGATCAGATTTTTCATCAATTAATTTATTATTTATTAGCATACCTAAATGTGTATAGTGAATATCCAAACTGGAAATAAGTGGATAGATAAGTGAATAAAGGATAGGAACCAGTTGGCCTAACAATCCTGCTGACACCCTCTTTAGCAGCTGTTAGGTCAAGTGGGGAAAAAAAAGATGCTGCGTCATTGGGCAACTGAATGCAAAGTCAGACGTGTTCAGGAGAACGCAAAAATTAGAACATGAGGAAAAAGTAACCTCCCAGTCTGTCACTAAAACATGCTTAAAAATTACAAATCATGCAGAATCATCCCATAGAGCATAATTTGTTTCCTCGATCACTCTAAAACACTTCTTCTAATGTTTACTGTTGTTCCATTTAATTAACATTAACTCACCATGTGCTGTGTGCGTACTGCCTCCAGAGGGTAATCTCCCTTAGCAGTCTCTCCGCTCAGCATGATGCAGTCGGCTCCATCCAACACGGCGTTGGCCACGTCACTGCCCTCAGCACGGGTGGGCCTGGGCTTCTTGATCATGCTCTCCAACATCTGAATGGCGTTAGAATGATATGAGGTGTTGGAATGTGCTGACACGGTTTTACAAAGACTAAACTGAGACTCTCGTGCCCAGTCATCTGCTGGTCTGTATTAAAAAGGTCCAGTGTGTAACATTTAGGATGATCTATTGGCTGAAATGGAATATAATACAATATAGTATTCATGGGAATGTTTTCATTAGTGTATAAATTTAAATGAACGTTTTATATCTACTGAACCGCCATGTTTTTGCCACAGCCTCCAAATCCTACACACTGGTTCTTTTTTAATTTTGTTATAAAAGTAGCATAAAGAGAACTATATCTAAATTTCATCACCATCACCTTGAATACTTTAAATGAACTTCAGCTCCTGGGGAAAATAAAGCTGAAGAAATACAGTAAGCATTATTTCCTTTTATCTAACCTGAGTGGCACATGTGATCGGCTTGCCAGCTTTGTTGCAGCGACCGATCATCATCTTCTGGGCTAGGAAGACCTTTTCTGTGGGGATCTCAATTCCCAGGTCACCACGGGCAACCATGATGCCATCACTGGCATCCATGATCTCATCAAATCTGCAGAAAAGACAGAAAATTACAATCAATCATAGAAGGAGAAGAGATTCACATATGAATTCGCATATAAGAAAATGTTTTGTATCTGGCCTTGTTGCTCAGCCAACCAAGGAATAGATACAAAATCAACAAACAAATGTAATTAAAACACAAATATATCATGATGTGAACAAAAGATCTGAATTACTGGACACAGATTAACCCACACACACCTGCGTACACCCTCGTGGTTCTCCAGCTTGCTGATGATCTTAATGTCTTTGCCTTTTTCTCCCAGCACTGCTCTGACAGCGTGTACATCGGCTGCTTTGCGGATGAAGGAGGCAAAGACCATGTCGACTCCGTGCTCCAAACCAAACTGCAGGTCCTTGATGTCCTTGTCTGAGACAGCTGGCAGATCAACAGCAGCACCGGGGAGGTTCACTCCCTTCTTGCTGCCCAGGGTGCCACCGTTCTCAATCTCGCACATGAGGAAATCAGAACCTGGACAAACCAGAAAATATGAATAGGGTGAGGCCTATTACTACATAGCAGTGTTTTCTAACCTTCTAACCTTAAACCTTCTATCAAAAGAGACTTTATGGGCCCAACCTTATCTATGTTTGGCACTCCACTCACCAATCTCCTTGACCTGCAGGGATATGAGTCCATCATCAATGTAGATCTTGCTGCCAATTTCAACCACTTTGGTAATGTTCTTGTAGTCGAGCCAGAGGAGCTCCTCACTGCAGTTGTCCTGCTGAGCATCGTCCAAGGTAATCTTGATCATGTTGCCCTTCTTCAGCTCCACCTCAGCTGTGCCACTCTGTCAAGTCATTATGGGATACAACTTTACCTGCTTTTGGGTTAGTTTTTAATCTAAAATGTACTGTCAACAACAGCTAATAAAGCCATCATAAAGACAACCTGTTAAATATATAGAACAGAAAAAGGTGACGTAAAACTCACTCCCTGGATGAGACCAGTCCTGATCTCTGGGCCCTTGGTGTCCAGGGCAATGCCGATAGGCCTGTATTGGATACTACCAGGCTCGAAGCTCTCACATGCCTCACGGATGTTCTTGATGGTCTCTGAATGGTACTACAGAAAGGAAGAGAAGTGTAAAATGTTAAAATCTCTCCAAAGAAAATTCCAAGCAAGATACTGAACTACACAGTTTCAGTCGATCTTCAATCAAATACATTGAAAAGAATTCGGCAAAGGCACAGATATTAGAGTTACTGTAAGATATAGGCTTTATCAGGCTAGGGCAATTAAAAGATAAGGTGCATCTTATCCGTCATAAACATGAGTCATACTGTCAATATCACTATGGGGTCATACAGTTCTTACAGTTTAAGTCAAAATGCCAAGTGAATTAAGCAGCATCCAATAAGACTAAAGAGATTTCATATCATACAGTATTGCGTAGCAGCAATATACAGTTATAAGTATGTGTCCTTGAACACTTCTCCCCTTGTTATGACGAAACCTCAAACACCACCTGTGAAGACTGCAATTCAAGTTCTGAGAAAGTCAGCTGAGGAAGTTCAGGGTTTCTCAGGAAGAAATTCCTCAGTGAAGTCAGCTTAGAACAATAAACACAATCAAACTAAACAATCCTAAATCCTATCACAATTAGAAATGTAAACGAACTTCAAACAGACTTGCGTAGGACCTTACTCATGTGGTCTGATATTGTTCACACAACAGAGGCTGAATAGAGAGTCTTGCTAAGGATGTGTTGCCTTGGCTATAAAATGCTTTGGGAGATGATAGAAGGGAACTGTAGAGAAATTCAGCACCGTCATATGACTGATGCAGCCATCTTTGCCCATGAGTGCAGGCTAATGAACACGTAGCACAGCATTTGTGGCTTTGAAGACGGCAGTCTGCTGCACATGGCTTATGCTGCCCACCTGGGTGACCAGAGCTTTCAGTAATAACTTAAGTGGCAGGTAATTACATTGGCTGCCTTTCACACTGAGCTAAACTACTCTCACTCCACTGTGACTAAAATACAACCTGCATGGCCCCACCATCTGTAAAAGAGAAGAAATGTAATCCAAGATTGTGCCAAAACACTATAATCTGCAATTAAGATGAAGTCTCACATAACCCAGCACTGAGGGTACAGAAGTTCTCTTCAGAAAGTTGAAATATCATGATGCCAAGCCGGAAATAAATATATGGATATTTAAATATATGGCCATCTTGGCAGCTGTTAACCTCCAGTGTGCTGCAGCCTTTAAGTAAGAGATTGAGGCGAGGCAGGAAGTGTGATGTTTTATGACCAGTGCTGCACAGGGAAGTTTGAGCAGGTGACTGTTTACTGTGTGTATGTGTACAGGTCATGTAAAGTGAAACTACAGTTAATGTTTAGTTAGTTCTTGTTTCACACAATATTATGAATACTGCTTTAAGAAATGTGACTTCTGGATTTGCAACATAATCTACTTTCCACTTCCCCCTTCGAAAGTGAACTGACCTTGGTGTTGGTTTGTATACACTAAGAGGCGTGCTGCTGCTGAGAAGATAAAGTCAGGGTAGGAAGCTAAAGATGACGTATGTATAGTATCCCAAGCCAGAAAAAAAAGCTGTTTTTCCTTTTGGTGTTCTCTATACTAACCTTCAATCAAGCTGAACCAACCAGATGCACACCAACGATAGATACTTTTCAATGAATCATTTCTGTATTTCTGAGGGTTAAATATTTGTGACTGAATCCATTTTCTAAAACAGCACACCTTTAAGTGTGACACACTGGAATAGTTGAATTCAAATAGTCCGAACATGGTGACCATCTAGACAGGATCCTCCAACTTCCTTAAGCTCCCTGCAGGATCCTGAAGGTCAGAGTCATGTGTCAGCGAGATTCAGCTTACCTGGACAGACTGCTTAATTATACTATATAAGCTGGTGGCAGTGAGTCTCTCCCTGGGCTTCTGCTTCAGTACAAGTACAAACAAACCTTTTTGAAATGACAAATTATGTGCATCTCTCTTATTTGTCCTACCTTCAGCTGTGTTGGGGCATTAAAGCAACAAACCTGAACATGCTTTTTGAAGTTTGCCTGATCAATGAACTCATTCACAGATACACTTTTCTTTTTTCTTAATTTATCTGGCTTTTAGATGAGCACCGACAGATGAAAGAATCATTACCTAATTCTCTTGTTAGTCTGTTTTTAAGGTTAAATATGAAGAGTCATGAAGGAAGCTTCTTTTTTTTAAACCTGTGTGCATGATTTTGACTTTCATTTAACTTTGGTTCATATCTTATTGTGCTTTCAGATGAGATCTGCAGCAGGTATAAGCCACTTTATTCACCTGTCCTCCAAAAAAAAAAATAACTTGTAATACTCAACTTAAAAAAAAAGGTATAATACTTAACCTTTTTCTATGTGTGTAGCAAGGAATTGCTAAACAGATAATACATTTCCTAGATTACTTTACAGAGCTTGTGCCATTGTATGACACACAATCAGGCTGCATCACTTATTGAGTTGACCTAAGTTAGCTAGCCCAAACTCTAATCTTGATCAAGTCAGCACATTTTTTTCCATTCATGCTGGCTGGCCTAGTCTTGCGAAGTGCAATTCATAATGAGCTATGTGCTTGTTCACTGTGAGCACTGTTGACCATATACTTTCACCATAGTTATTTTATGCAGCCATCTCTGCTTGAAAAGATAAAAAAAGAAGAGGCAAAGACTGCCACAAAGATAAACCATACAATAGCACTCTTTGATAAAGCACACAACCATGATTGATGGAAATTATCAGCACAGTTTAAACGTGACTTTCAACAATGTGACCGGTTAGCTGTACGTGCCTTACTCTTACACAGTAGACAGAATTGTGAAAAGACCCACCTCATGTGTGCCATGGGAGAAGTTCAAGCGAGCAATGTTCATTCCAGACTTGATCATCTCCTTCAGCATGTCCACAGAACGGGAGGCTGGTCCTGCAGGCAGTTATTCAAAGGAAAGGATTAAAAAAAATAGCATCACTTTAAAAATGTTAAGCTTTATATTTTACATTTCCTGCTAATTAAGTGAACTAGATCAAGTACAGAATGTGTCATTTTCTGTGTAGAGATTCTCTTTAGTATTCAGTTACATGCGTGTACAGATTAAGGTGAGAAAAAAAATATTTTGACTATTTAGCTATAATGGTGCAGCCCTGCCAGTAGCAACCATATCTCTCAGCCATTAAAATGTTAAACAATAGTGTTGACCAACCAATAGTGCAGATGATGCCAGTGTTGCGTGCGGTGGTGGGCTCAGAGTCAATGTCCAACAGGCACATGTGTTCCAGGAAGGTGTCAGCCATGGCAGCGTTGAGCTGCTGTGTCTGGATGAAGGCAGAGCCCATGTCTACAGACTTTGGATGAGGCATGGTGTTCGATGGTACAACTGTAGAAGTCCTATAGAAAAAAAATGGACAGAAGAATTAAAAAA